ATTCACTGAATCAGTTGTACCATGAATTTCGAGTATTATTTTAAACGTACGGGCGTGTATGATATTTAGAGGTTATAAACGGAAATCGTGGGTAATTTGCAGCGACTAAAAGACCTTTCTTGCAAATTTGGCGGGATATAAGAATCAAGCATAAGCGTAATTTTACTCAGCGAAATCTTATATATTAAATTTGTTATTTAAAATATGCGATTCCCCCGAGTTTTGTAAAACTTGTAAACTTTGACCTATTTAATTATGCACATACCTATTTAATTATGCACATACCTATTTAATTATGCACATATCTATTTAATTATGCACATATCTATTTCCCAGGTATCAGTTATGTATATGCATTTACTTGAGACTAGATATTATATATAGATAACATATCTAGATAATATGCATTTATTAATATTTAAAACTACAAAATTATAATTTTGTTGTGCCTACTAAAATGGTTCAATAACCTGTCACCTGCAAACCGATCATACTGCTTGTAGTTATATTTTCAATTTTTTTTTTCTTTCGTGAAAATAAGTCTACACTTATTGTTTTATAAATTGTTCCCAACAATGTCCGTTTACTACTTTCCCTGTGATTTTGTGAAAAGGCGATAACGTCGTCGGTATTGTCTATTCGTGTATTAACATATGGTTATTTTACGTACATGTACAGATAGACAATTGCAAGTAGCGACGAATCGTTTTGTCAAAACCACGTACATGGGTTGTAGCAATATGGTTCAATACAACAACTGTGATTGATTGTGTAGTTGATCTTCAAGACACATTTCAAAATGTTCAAAACCAAATTCAATTGACGCACGACTACATATTTTAAAACCACTGGCGACACTGTGAACCGCTTTCGTTCTCCCGTTTACGTCACAGAAGAGCGATCACTAAGGTTTAGATCCCATTGCACATACAACGTATCCACAGCAATACATTTTGCACATGGATACACATTTCCAAAACCAAAGTAATCGATCAATAATTTTAATGTCATAATTAATAAAAAACAAAAACATACTATTTATATCTAAATAGTCCATTTACCCACCTCTGTGTGAATTCATTCATCGTAACCAGTAAAGTGCTATTTATTTTGGCATATCGCCGTTATATGAAGAAACTATAGCCATCTTTCGATTTCTGTATTGCCCAAATCAACAGAAACAATGACTATTTCGGATACTACTCATTAAATTCAGGATTGTATTATCATTACTTGCAATACAATGGTTCAGTGACGTGGACAAACATTTTTATTTTTGATGTGAATCTAGCAAATTGAGATGAATCACTCATGTACGAGAATGGTTTTGACAAGCCTATGAAATCCGTAATATTAGCCGTGTCAGCATCTTTTATTTCATGTTTTTGTCATATCACCTCAAACCCTGCAAGTAGAAGTGTGCATGGAATCATGGGACGAAACGGTGTAAATTGCCGTTTGATAACTGTCAATTAAAATCTACCAGGTGTGATTGTGATTTACATAACGAAGGATGTTTACAATCTACTGAGTTGCCTAGGGAGACAGCTGCTGGCAAAACCCCATTCTGATTGGCTCATAAGAAAACCCTGGTAGTGTCCCTGAATCTGGGCCATTTCGGCCTATAAATAGGCTAGAATGAGGACATTTGGGGTCCATCATTTCAACTGAGTACCCTGTATGTTGCTGCTGTGATATTGTGAGACAAGTGATACAGGATTCAATCATCATTCTGTGAGACTTGCATAAACTGCTCTGTGATCTCCTGCTTTCAGCGATGCCCTCCAGAATACCAGCGTTTCTCTGCAAGCAAGACTCCTGTATTTTTTCGCCGATGTGTTGCATAAGCCATTGACTGTCGTCCAATAATACATCCTGGAACTGTGAGTTACTAGTATCACCAATGCACACTTCCCTAAGCAATCTCTTATTTTAGTGACTTTATTTATTGTATTTTCTGTGCTTTATTTCTTGTAATTATTTTGAGAGTTATTAAAGCCAGGAGCTTTAACTCGATATTTTGGTGTATGTATATTTCATTTCTAGTACTATTGTCTTGTCTATCCCCTTCCTAGTAGCGAAAGAGCCCCCCTGTCAAGTGTGAGTTCTGTGGGTGTCCCTCTCAATAGCAATAAGCAGGCCTTACACTATGACAAGCCGCAATATTGTAGTACAATATTTTACACAACTTAATGCATATTGAATTAATAGGTTTGTTAATTTTGAACAGAATGAAAATACCCCCCCCATTGGCTACATATCGTGAACAATGGGGTATTTTGTTTATAAGCGTTGTATATCATGATGAAGTCACCGGCCTGTTATTACGCATCATTGGTAATCACTGGTAAAATAACTACCTGAACCATGTATACTTTACCCATAATCCTTTGCTCGAGAATCAAGATGGTTGACTACATAATACTGATATAAAGTTGAATATCTAGAGAATGAAAAGTAATATAAAAAAACTGTAAATTGCATTCACCTACATTTGTGGAGCATTTTCTTTAGGGGTCATTATGTTGTTTGGATTGATGTTTCCTTTAAATAAATTGACTGTTGAAGGTTTACCAATAATTTAGTCTAATTAAACCCAAATCTAATCATATCGCTGTGATTTCATTAGTGTGCGCCCTCTAAGTACTACTGTCAAATTCGTACGAAACGGGATCTCAAACTTGCCAAACACATTGGAATATCACCGACGATGTAACACGTGTTAAAAATAAAACAAAGAGACAAGTGTTAACGTATACGAAGCACAATGCAAGTGAGTACAAATATAGAATCGTATAGACATTACACCGAGCATAGATAGATTCTACACACGTGTAATGTTACCCTCAGATAACTACTTCGAATAAAACCAATATTACACAATAGGTTCAAATATAAGAAGTCTATACCATGATTGAATACAGAAGCAATGTAATCGTATGTACATAAATGGAGACGGCTTACAAACAAAGAACAGACAGACACGCATACAGGCAACAACCACCCTCATTCAGGCCGTTGAGACACCATTCTCTCGGATTGTTACAATATACCATTATTCGATTATTGTTAGAAGAACGTTTGTTATCTAGTTCACGAACTGAACTTCTGGATTATATGACGCCACGTCATCGCTTGATGACATATTTCGAATATATATTATCATAGTAATACACCAAACACAAAAGTTCTGTGAACTAATTTTAACATTGAGAATAAACGCCATACAATCGGTATCACTCCCAGTCTCAATATGAATGAAATACACATGTTCATCAAATCTCTCGCTATTTTTATTTTACTTTATTCAATACTTCTTCTTTGAGGCACTGTGCGCGATGTGACGTTCATATCTTTAAACAATGCATCTTGAATTTCGTGATTACTTTCTAGCCCCAACAACTGAAAAAAGTAAAATTAAATTCAGTAAGCAATCTTTAATTGAACTAGTTATTTGTATGGTGATTTATTCAATGTAACGGAAACATGGAATAACGTTTGTAGTTTGTGTGTGCATAAGTTTGCATAATTGATCTTTGAACACTTTTTTGAAAAATACATTTACAATATACTTAAGACAAATATGGCCGCCGAGATTCCGACGGGAGCGAGTCAGGAGACTTGTAGATTTTGTAAATAGTGTTTCTTTTTTTCCGTTCAATGTTCTAAATACAACTATATATCAAGAAAACGATGAACGCACTGTCGGGACAAAATGGGACACCTCGGGGTTCTAACGCTTTCAGTGGATGCTGGCGGCCATTGCCAAACAAACATTCTAGGGATTCGTTTACAAGAATTCTCCTCACAACTATAACAATTGTCGGTGCAGATTTCCGTGTTTGTTGGTGTTGTCGTTCGTTATTTAGTGTATGGCAAATTTATAAAAAAAAATAGTACTTTTTATTGACGCGCGACCACGCATCAACACAATGTATGAACGTTTCCGTCATATCAATTACGTCACAGAGGGCGTGACGTATAGGCCGTCGCACTTTCTTATGTTTTGCCCGCGTATTGTAAACAAGTGACGTCACAGTCCGACAGCCCATAAGAACAGTGCATTACGACGGTTCACGGGCCACACAGTTCACAGGATAGATGTTCACGCTTCGGTGTGTTTATCTCTGTTTTATCTCTGTTTTGATAGTTCGTACAAAAAATTCTACCCCTGAATTCAACGAGCTGGACCAAGACGTTCCACGATTATCTAAAAAAACGACCTATTAATCTTTGAATAAATTTTGCTAAATATTGTAGAAACATAAATTGTTCATCTTCTCTAGTTTGCGTTTGCTTTCATATTCCGATGTATTAAAAATATCCGTTGATTATTATCATTTTAACATCCCTTTTTCAAATACCTATCTGGAACAGAAAACACGTCACCGGAATACGAGTGAGGAATAGAGATTTACCTAGTCCTACAATGGCGATAACTACCAACAAAACATTTTTTTTTTTACCTGCGGTTACGATATTATTAAAATAGTGAGATACTAATAGATTACGGACTTACAGCAAGAATCAGCAGTGCAAGAAATCACGCCGTCACTGACACACGTACTGAAAAAAAGAAGCAATTTTAAGACCATTAATGTAAAAGTCATGTTTAGTGTCATAACAGAGGACGAAAAAGTGTGTGTGCAGGCGCACGTAACACAAGTTTTTAATACTGATTTATATTTTGTTATTTAGCGTCATGTTTCATCCCTGCAGCTCTACTTTCTAATTTCACGTGCTTCATAGAAAATACTACGTGAGGCAAAGTTTATGCAGAATCGTACATGACGATCATCTAGTCAGCACGTACATGAAACCGCCACACCATTTTGCCTTCGGCTGTATACTATATAGTATGTACACCACGCACTAGTATTGACAATATCCGCTAACACTACCTCTACAGCCGATATTCAGTTATGACGCTTACCACGAATTTCCGCACTGGTCAATTTCCCAGACAGCGCCTACTTTATATGAGTCAGTATTATAAAGACATCCACTATTGCTGGACCCGGAAACTGAATAAAATACAAGATTTGTTGACTGAATTACAATATCACACTACTGTATGCGTAAGGAAGATTTGACAAGTTATATTGTATCCATGGTAACGGAAATAGTAGTTATATGAATTTGAATGAGTGACATCATCAGTCTCAACATTTTGCCATTGTCCTATATGTTGTTATGCAGCTTCATAGATTCGTTATATTCAATTCAGTATACATAATGAACAGTTGTTATAATAAGCACCCACTACTATAGCAACGTCAACATGATGTAGATAGATGTAAATGTATGAATTTCATTCAAATATACAACTTTGTTTTATTGCAGTCTTTTAGAACATACTAAATATTTTGTTTTCATTGGCAAACGACTACAAATGAACGCCATCATCTGTGTTCATTACATACATTCACGTCACAAATGAGATTTGTCGCCAGAGGACGCGGTGCTAACACTGAAGACGCTATTAAAGTTGCATTCCGACTACTATATCAGAATATGCGACAAACAGTAAATGACACTGTTTCGGTTAAAGGTATTATATGAAATGGGAGCTGTACTTACATCCCGAGGTGTCACAAGGAGAGTTGTCACAATCAAATACACCAGTTGCTCCATCGCAAGTGCTGTAAACAAATATACATATGAACTCATTTTGGTTTTTGTTGTTGTCAATTTATATGATGTTGCAATTGGATTGACTGATATCAATGCGTTTTCATGAATTTGATTGGCGCATTGAATATCAATGTACATCAATACAAGAATGTCGCAATTATCAGTTGCTGTAGCGTGTTGCGAAAATATTGTTTGTCATTGTTTCGAACATATATATTTAAACTTTCAGGCAACTATATTTATCAGCTCGTTGGATTGGCTGATTGAACATGTCAATTCGGTACCAGTAATTGGATTGGCTGATGGGACATATCAATGTGGTACCATGAATTGGATTGGCTGATGGGACATATCAATGTGGTACCATGAATTAGATTGGCTGATGGGACATATCAATGTGGTACCATGAATTAGATTGGCTGATGGGACATATCAATGTGGTACCATGAATTAGATTGGCTGATGGGACATATCAATGTGGTACCATGAATTAGATTGGCTGATGGGACATATCAATGTGGTACCATGAATTAGATTGGCTGATGGGACATATCAATGTGGTTCCATGAATTAGATTGGCTGATGGGACATATCAATGTGGTACCATGAATTAGATTGGCTGATGGGACATATCAATGTGGTACCATGAATTGGATTGGCTGATTGGACATATTCAAATTAAATTTGTGATATTGCCCTTGGCATATTCAGTTCATCTACTTACCAAACCGTGCACCCATCATCATCGGTGTAACTCTGGCCTGATCTCTTTAATTTTCCATTAGGGTCAGGGCATTCTGAAATAAATTCACACTTTAAACCACCTTATGCTTTTTGACTAATACTTCATTGTAAGACTGACTCGCCTTCTCAAGTCAAATGTCTTTGCTCTCACAAATTGTCCTCGGTCAGATTAACTGACCAAACATATTATATCACTTCACTGGTTGATATACGCGACCAATTGATCGTTATCTTATTGTTTCCAAACAACATCTAATTATCATTAAACAATTGAAACTCATCTTTCGTTTTTCCAAAAATGAAAAAAAAAATCTAGCGCATTCACATACTGTGTGTATTGGACATGTGAAAAAAGTGTAGTCATATTTATGTCATTCAATAAATAACAAACACAATGTTTCAAAAACAGTCATGTTATATACAGTGGTATCTGGTGAGTGCGCATAAATATCAGATTATTTTAAAGGCAAAAGGAATATTGAGGCTTTTTAAAAAAAAATGACTTACAGATATCTGAAACCACTAACATAATATATTGAGAGAATGTCAGTCATATCAAAAGTTCAGTATTACGATCAAATACGGTATCTTTTCTTGTAACTGTAGACTAAATCAATCAGGCCTTATATGATAAGACATCGAAATGTAAAAAACTCAATCCACGCAAGTAGGTGAAAAATAATGACCTATTTAGAAAAGATCATTCGCCAAACTAACTAGAGAATAAGAAAAAAACTCAGTTTAATACTCACTTAGACCTGAAGATGCCCCACCACCGCCTCCACCTCCGCCACCTTAACCAAGAAAAGACAATATTTATTGTTACAACTTTTCACATCATATATTCAATAACTAGTGCCTTCTTTGTCTTTGTAAAAGAGACAGCATCCATCGTAAATTAATACGCGATTCATTAGTTTCAATATATTACACAGTATGTTTGACCTTTCAGCTAGTCATTTACGTGTTTTGTTCCACGCCCCAAATATCAGCTGTTTCCCCCATAAAGCAAGGATACCTCGTGGTTGCAATCGATAACGATGTATCAATACGCGACAGTTAAGTGGGAATTCAAAAGACAAAGGTTCCTGGTTGTGGAAAATCGTAAAATATAAAAACAAAAGAATTTTAGTTATAACTCACCACCACCTTTCTGCATTTCGTGACAAGATTGAGATAAGATAGATTAGAAAAAAGAATATAATAAGAATTGTACATATAACTCCATGATCTCTACTAACGTGATCAATATTAATTCATTTCAACCAATGAATCGACATATCAAATCTATGCCTCTGACAAAATAAACGCGCCACTTTAATGCTGAAGAATAGAATAATTCATAAACATTCGATTTCTGTGTAATTTGGCACTGCAATTGCAATCGCTAGTTTTATGTGTATATATTTGGCACAACGAATAATGTTTTGTACATTGCATTAGTCGATAATATGATAATTACCACGACATATATAAATGCGTAACGTTTAATTTTCGTAGTTCACTCGAACGCACTTGCAATGTGTACACTGTGAGGTTATTAATGGAATACTTCAAAGTATGCACGAAGACAGTACAACTGGAGTATGCGCGTCGGTCGATGCGCGGCGTACTGTCTGAGTGCATACGTTGAGGTATTCTCGTAATAAGCTTATTATTATACATCTTTTCCTTCAAAGGATACACAATGGGAATGCCGAAATTTAAAATGTGTAGAACAGAATCAGCGAACTTCTTGGAGTCTGGAGTCCGGTCAAACCCTGATGGCAGCCATCATGTTTGCTTTTATTATTAGAGGACGCTTATGCGCGTAATCATTCCATATTTGAAATTCGCATTTCTTAATATGGTAGGATGAAAATACCCCGTAAAATACCGCAAAATTACGGCACGCTGTAACTTATGGCGTTACGGTGACAGATGTATAATAATACACTTTATCCGTTCCAAATACCACGATTACATCAGTTAGACGAACAGTGGACGTAATGATTGTATAGAATGAAACATTATTTGGGGGAGGGGAAAAACAAGTAGCTGTCAACAAGATCACGACGGCCACTGCGAATAAGATATATTCTATAAATTAAGACATGTTCCAAAAAAAAATCAAGAAACTAATGTCCATACCAGCATGCTTTACGTCGAAATTCGATTGTGGTATCGACATGGTAAATCACAAAGGAATCGACGGTAATGTTTTGCGGTTTCTGACGCTATATCAAAATATAGGCTATAATACTGCTTTCAAATGTTTTATTCTGTAGTTCAGGCCATTCTACATACACTATCCCATCGTATTGTTGTAACGTGCCCATTAATGTATATAATGAACAATTCAGAAAAATAATATGAAATACATACTTATAGATGTACTATTTGAATTTCGTATTATCACATATCGATAAATAAAATATCAGAGCCGATGTTGTTTTATACTCTAGCTATCAGATTATTTAGTCGATGAACAAAAAAGCAACAACAGATTTGTGTTCAATGCACATTATTATTTCCTTGCTGCAGATCATTTCAGATTTCTATATGAATGAAACAAATAGGAGACACACCACCCAGACCCTCTTCTAGATACGAACATGTTCCGTCCATTAAACTACCGGGAATACAAAGTAAGAATATCTTACCTTGGCTGAAACACCAGCAATTACAACCACCAGTGTTATTAGCGATATCTTCACAAACATCATCATATTGATACTGAAATAAAATAAGAAATATATAAAATATGATATTTTTTGTCATGATATTACAATCCAATATGTTTTAAAATGAAGGAATAAATCGATAACAAAGCCAGCATCGGGTACAATATTCTTGTATGTAACAACAGCTATACATACTAAATCGAACGTCAAAATGAATGTTGAATCTAAGGAAAATGTAGACGGTTGTGTTACAGCAATCCAGTGATTCTGTTGGCACTCTTATATCTCAGTTGTATTGTAATTGTGGTAATTATGTTAAATCACAAACTATTTTGATTAAAGTAATTACAAGTAGTTATGCGTGAATACACACTTAGTTAGGGTTAGGAAAGTTCATTGAAAAAATTAGATGTAATTAATATATTTTAATCAGTTTTAGTGTGTTTATTACCCGCGAAAGATTGTGGTTAAGATATGCAAGCCCATTAAGCTGTTGCAGTTCACCGACTTTGATCAATGGACACTTATTAACTGAACACTTAATAATATCTACAATGAAACTAGCGATGCTTATTTTTAAACATAGCTTGCGTCGTCATTATATTTGTGTAACTGACAGCACTGTCGATTGTTTAATGTGGGTACCCACATTTTGGCCTGCACTAGTAATTTTATATACTTTCTTATGGTAAGTATCCTCGACGGACAAATGCTATTGTGTCAACCCAGATTCAAAAATTTCATTCACGACATATTAAAGATTCATACGGTTTTGTTAATATCTCTTCTTTGTAAATTTCAGTTAGTTGAATGAATAGAAGATCGAGAAACACAGTGACGCTCATTGACGTAGTTATTTATTTAAATGATGCTATCCACGAATTAAAGAATCGGTGTCGTTTTTAATATAAATTAGTTTTAATGTTTTGTCTTGAACACCCAGTTCTCTTACATCTCCTGACTAAGGTCGTGGTTACATGTCAGCCTTAAACATTGTTTCCACGAATTTTATCACCGGCAAAGTTATGTACCGGTTACTGACTGGAACCAGTTTGAAAAACAAGCCTCGTCAAATGTGTAAAAGAAACATGTTTGATCAAATGCACGGGTCGTTCTTATGAAATCTTATGAATACATTCGATGTCTGCTGCCCACTCAAACATCGCTATGCCTCCTCCTGTGGAAAATATGGTGGGCGCGTATGGGGGTGTTCTCAAAACGCATGCGTATACCAGCGATAACCTATATTTGGTTCTCTGTAAAATATATTTTAACAACATTTCGCCAAATTGGGAGTATAATCGCGATTTTGTTTTGCGAGTTTCTGGTCATTATTATTAATGGTGTTTGGTTCACCTGTTTGGTCCAGTGCGCATCCACTCAAATATTGCTATAGCAAAAGTATTTTAACTCTACAAAAGCATTTATAATAATTAATGTAATGATTATTAAACGTGTATGTTTTGCCGAGTACCTAGTTTGAATGATTGGTTGATATATATATATATATAACATTACATGCCCTAAATTTGAGGCCTACGTCGCATTATTCAATAATTTACGGCCCAATTACAATTCCAAGAACTAAGTCAGATATGAAAACCATAACAAGGTTCAGTCATGGTACGCACAAAGGAAACGTTCACTTTAGACAATAAGTTACTTACCTTCAATAAAGAATAGTTGTTGCGTACTACTGGATATAGCAAACATGAGCTAAACACCAAGAAACAACTTATTTTAAACGCTCACATACGTGCGTATTTCAAACTATATATTTTATGATTTATTTGATTAGATATAAAAAAGTCCATTAATATTAGTCTAATTGTACATAATCTAACTGATGAAATACGATAAGAAAAATACTTAAAGCTATAACTAGATCGAACAAGGAAGTATATTTTTTTCAGCTAACTAAAGGGCACGAATTTCTTGTAACTATTACTATCATTGTGATGAATACAATTGCCATACAACGGACTCCTTAACTGAACCATTCTAAGGATGACAGCATAAATTACTGTAAGCGTAATAAAATTTATATGTTCATATACCATTAATTGCACTGACAAAAAGTCAAATGACATTTATTCAGCCAGTATATTTAATGACACCACGAATATCTTTGTTGGAAAATTTAGAAGCTTGTTCTCCGTGCATTTTTAATTATCAAAATGATTTTAACTTTATATCGTCACGCAGATTACATGCTTGCTGCCGGGAAACTGGAGCCTGTGGCGTTGATATGGCAATAAATCTGTTTTATATTGAATAGCAAATAGTCGATTCGTGTTGAACCTCGTAAATCTATTCTTGTGATTGGATTCGTTATTTATAATGTCTATTCATTTCTTTGTCATCACAAAAAAGGGAAATTTGAGTGGTGTTGAACGGCAACACACAGAACAGATTGGCTTTTGTGGTGTCACTATGATGAGTGAGTGACCAACTTCGGATAATATTCAATTCTAAATTGTTTATCTAATTCTGAAATGGTTATTTTATTTATAAGTAATGCATCAGTCGTGAGCAGTATACAATTATTCACACAGAGTTCTATGAAAGTACGCGTTTTTTATTCGCATCTTTCGACGTATACAAATAATACTTCGAATCAGCTGTGTAGTTTTGTTATGATAATATATACTGGGTATTGGTTCCATTCTTAAATAAAATAAAAATATTTTCACAATATATTATTTAAAGTTTATTTTATTTTCTGTAATGCACTCATGTCTACCGAGTTCAATTCCTAGATCATGAGAAGAATGTCTAAATAAGGCTTGACTGAGATACGACAGATAACTCGTTTGGATGTAGATGATATTTAAATATACACTATATCATTTTGGCGTATTTTTTCGTCAAAAATCATTAACATTTTGTGTTATCGCAAAACAACACTAACCTAAGAAAGTATGTAATGTTTGATGTCCGACGATCGCTCGGTCGCTATGGTAACTAGAGTAAAATAGTTGTTTCATAAATTTAAAACGGAGAGACATGGTGGCTATACAAAAAAACAACTGTAAATGTTGCATTCAATACGGTACACATATAATTACATGTGTCGAAGGCTTCAAACAAAATTTATACACACATGAGATACTAACTACGTTCCGTAGTGGCGATCCTGCAGTGCTTTAAGATTTGAGATGTACCCATGGTACTAGTAATTACGTAATCACGCAAACGGCTGCAGTCATTGGTTGATCACATGTTTACTCTTATTGTTTTACTGCGAATATATAATAGAAGTTAGCAGCCTGGCGTTATCGTGGCTGGATAAGGAATAATGCTAGACCATCTGAAATTAACTAATGTGTATTTCTTTAGATCGAACCTAATATCTCTACAGTTTAATTGTCACAAAGAAGGCGACTATGGCGCTTGGACAAAATATCTTTATTTCTGGGCCTAAACAAAATAGCTTCAACGCCCCTTGCCTAGTTGTTTTGAAATATTCACATACCCTCCATCACCACGACAGAACAATGAGATTGGACGTAAAACATAAATGTATGTGTTATTTATGTCTCTGGGACCAATCGTTACTAAGTAAAGTTGAACATTTGAACATTGCTTGCATAGCTATATATGTTGTTTGTGATGTCCGAAATTCGACTTGTGTATTGCCATTTAGTCGCATTACCATTTACTTGATCAAAAGTGAGGTCAAAATGGAACCCATTTCACGAATTGCAAAAACGCGTGGTTCGAGAGGTACATCTTTTATTATTGTTATTTGTATACCAGCTCACTTCTACCATGCTGGGATTGTTACTGTGATTTCAGTTGCCTGGAAACGAGGAGTTGTGTCACCAAAATCACAATCAATGCGTGCATGGTCACTCTCGTTAACTTGTTGATTGAAATATCGTTTAAACGTGAATTCTATACACAGGTTTAATTCCCTGTGTTAATTTCCAATCACGCACATGGACGCACGGGATCAGCATGGGCAGTCACACTAGCAAATAAATTAAATCGCGAAATGAAAATGTTTTGTATTCAAATATAGATAAATTAAGACAATTTGCAATTTATCCAAGCAGAAAATTTTGAATTCGGGTGGAGTAAGATTACTTCCTCATCCACTGACCACGATTTGCAATGAGAAGGTAAAATTAACAAGTATAATGTCCGGAAATGAAAGTATGCTAAATATTATAAATGTTATCAGCAATTTATATTTGTTTAAAAAATTGCTGTTTTTAAATAGTGATTATTTTATACAATATAATAAAAACAAAGTTTTTTGAACAACTAAATGCAGTTAATATTTCCTTTATCATGTTTGTTTTGGTATTTCGTTATAATAATGTCCACAAATAAAAAAAACACAATGATCGTGACATCAAACATGTGCCATTGTGTGGAAATAAGTGTGGATGAGTCACGCTGTGCATAACGGGAATTACCATGCACATTCAGGAATACTGCTGAATACTGAATAGAGTATGTACCGTACAAACATTTATGTAACGTACATTTCAAAATACTTTAAAAAAAATACACACTACTAATTTAAAATATTCATGTCGACCAATTTAACAACCAGCGTCGTAACCATATCATTATTCTTAATATATACATTGAAGATGTTTTTCTCATCCTTTATTAGGAACATAATTTTCAGGTATTGATGAATGCTAGCATATACAGAGTGATGTATATGCTATGGTACTAGTGATGCTATGTAACTACATTTATAATAATACACACATACGTCCAAGCACAAAGGGACTGTGATCCACGGCGTAGTCGGCAATGAATCAATGTCGGCGACAATAAACACACTAAGTGGTTATTATGCTTAACTACGCAGATATTAAGGCTTGAGCTATCGCACTAATTACAGCAGATCATCACATCTCCAAAATTAACAGCTCGAATTTTAGAGCTTTGACAACCAATCTAACCAGAAAGTTTACCACCATACTTTGTGCAATTAGTCGAACACTCTATCTCAATAGTACATATAGATTTTTTTACTAAATCACATGTTACTGTCTTTTCATGTATTTTGTACTGACAAGAAACAACTGG